GGCTAATATGGTGGCTGAATGTAACAAAAGATAGCTAAAAGTAGCAAAACAGCAGCTAAATGTAGCAAAACATTAGCTAAAAGTTAAGAGTAGCAAAAGCTAGTTAAAAGTAGCAAAAGGCTAACTTAAAGTTACAATTTAGTGGCTAAATGTAAAGGACAAAAGAAACAAATGACTAGCTGAAAGTAAAAGAAGGCTAAATAAAATATTAGCTAAAAGGATAGTTAAATTTAAGTAACATAAGAAAATAAAAATAAATCGTGTACTGAAGCCGATTCCAATTTAATGCAATATTTTTAAAGAAACTAAAGAAATATATCAATGCATTTATTTGTGGGGAAATGTATTTATTTATGTTTTATTTATTTGTAAAGAAATCTATTTGTAAAAGTATTACAAAGTATTAAGTATTACAAAAATCTAAAGTCACAAAACCCATCTGCTGAGCGAGCTGAACATTTTGATAAATTAACGGCAAAATTGTCACACGATGAAACCAAACGCTGAATCAGCATTTTCACTTTTTATGAAACACAGTACTGAACAGGCATTGGCTAAAGCAAGAGCTGTACTTTTATTCTTTGAGCCTAAATTTTAAAAATAACTTCATTTATCAAAACGCCTTTAAATGCTTCAGGTGCTTTACCTGCAGGCAAACTGATCATTAAACTGTAAATTAGTAAGAATTCATGGACACTTCAGATAAGCGGCTCATTATTTGACCTGAATCAAGTTAATATTGTTTTTGTATTTAAAACATTGCAACACAACGGGTTAAGAGTTTTTAGCTGTTTATTTGTAAATTATTGTAATTAAACAAATAATGGAAAGTAAACACAAACCAAATTATTATATAAAAAATACTGGTCAACCCTTTAAACATCCTTCTACCTCGCTATAAGCTGTGGCCCAGTCTCATCGATGTCAACTTTCTCCCAAACTGATCTGATGGTCTCGCGCTCCTCTTCGGTCCATTTCACCATGTCGTCATGCGATCAATGGGCAGTTTGATTGATAAGTCTCCCTCCTCGCAGGAGTGATCAGCTGCTATTTTAGTAAAATATTTTCAGACTTGAACATTTCACCCTGGCTGCTTTTTTTGTGGGGCATGCAGCTGCTGAGCTCAGATTAAACCATCAACGTTTATTATCTGAATATTCAGACTCACCCCGCCCAAATAAATGATACGCAGCTCCAACATGTTGACTTGATGAGGAGGAAACACCATTTTTAACATTTTAGCTCATTTCAAAAGCAGTTTCTGTTGGTTGAAGAAAACATGACGGTGCAAAAACATTTTGAAGTCACATTTTAAAGCTGATTTTTATTAAGACATAAATCTTGATTATTGTCTCTTTTGGCCAAGAGACCAGACTTTAAACTTTTATGGTTAAAGACTGAAGCTCTTTATTTTCTCAGCTGTTAGTTTTTATAAATAAAAGTACAACTGTGTTTATAATTTCCTAACATTTTCCCCTTTTAGGTTGCCATATCATGACCAATAAAGATATTTTCAGTTAGTTAAACATGATCAATCGACCAGATTAAAATAAATAGAAAAGTTTCTTCTGGGGAATAAAGTGCTATTAATTTAATGTTGGGTGAATGATCAGTTGAGACACTTAAAAACAAATATTTATTTTGCTCATCTATAATCAGTTGATAATATCCACAATTGTTTGTTAGCTCATATACACGAGGTGCATGTTCATTACCTGAAGCTGCCGGAGACATTTAAAGATAACTGGACACAATGTTTAAATTATATTTATAAATATTGCAACCTTTCTCATCTAATTGGTCAGATATGTTCAAATTAAAGCAGGAACTTTTATAGAAATATGGCGTTTTATGTCATCTATGTACAATATGCTTGTTACTTAACACAACATCTAATATAACTGGACAGCTCTCCAGAAATTTATTTTCATTTTAAATTGATCTTCGTAAAATGTGAAATAATGTAAAATATGACGTTTAAAGCTCCTCAATAATCTGAATGTCAGGCTGGAAAAGAAGCTGTTCAATGTGCGAGGAGGAGGATCAGTGGACTGAAAGACTTTTGTTGACATGTTGTTGTTTTTTTTGCTATGTTTCTTTTTAATTATCTTTTAAATTATCATTTTGTTTTCAATTGTAAAAAAAAAAAAAAAAAACACTTAAATTTGTATGCATCACTATTGTTGTCATCATTCTTTGTTAAAATTCAGGTCTCTTGTAAATGAGTCTTCTAACCTGTTTAAATAAAGGTTGAATGAATTACATAAATATTTATATCAGCAGAAATTATAGCAAGTTATTTATTGTCTATTGTTGCTGTTAAAGGTGTTTCAGCTCTGTTTCAAATGTGCCCTGCACGCAACAAAAAAAGGTTTTTATTGTAAGTTTTATTGAATATGAACCAAACCTTGCAGAGTAATGAAGTACGCATGAGTCATGCTTATAATTAGAGGCTTTTTATTCGTGTATTAGGCAGCATTTGATTTGATGACGTGTGGCTGCTGCGCGTCCTGCTGGGAACTGAAGCTCCAGATCCTTAGTGGTACTGTCTGCCCAGGGCGGAGACGACCACAGCCAGGAACTTCTGCCAGGCCTCCTGGAAACCAGCGGTGAACACGCTGGGGCCAAACTTGGCAGCCACGCACACGGAGATGCACTCAGCCAGAAGCTGGGGATGACACATGCACAATCAGTCGAGTTTAATTTAATTCAATGAGCCCACTGATGTGTGTGTGTGTGTGTGTGTGTGAGGGGACCTACCCTAAAGTTGTCAGGATCCACATGGAGCTTCTCGGAGTGCATGACACTCAGCTTGGCGTAGGCGTTCTTGATGTTGTCCAGGTTCTTCACGGCGATTTCCAGTCCACCCATCACTACTTTTCCATGGGAGGCCACTTTGGGGTTTGCGGCGATAGCGGAGGCGGTGGAGAGGTCTCCAAAGGTTCCGAAGTACCTCTGGGTCCAGGGGAACACAATCAGAAGCCTGAGGATGAAGAATAACAGCCGTCACTCCAAACAGTGATAAACTAAAGGTAGGATGGTGAGCTGAGGAGGGATGGGGGGGTGTTACCTGGTCAGGGCCTGGGGTCCGATCTCCCCCACATCGATGTTGGACCACAAGGTGGTGATGGCGCTGCGCTCGGCATCTGTCCACTCGACCATGGTGACGGCTTGAAAGTGACTTCTCTCAAACAAGTTTACTGATCAAAGATCTGAGTGTGAAACGCCTTCATGGAGCCGGTATTTATTGATTAGCGCGCGCTCCGGCCCGCAGCCGAGGAGCGTTCTGATTGGATGATGCGCATTTGACCAAAAAAAAAAAAAAAAGGTGACGCGTGGCGGCGCGCGCCGTGCGTCTGCAACCTGCCACCGATTATTGCCAATAAATTATCTTATCTAACAGCAGGTTGTTCTTCTCCACTTGAATGTTTTCGACTTTTACTTATATTTGATTTTATTCTTGGACAGTTTTCACATTAATTTTATAAATTGTATTTGTTTTATAATGTTATGTTGTTATGTCTTAATTATTGTTCTGTAAAACACTTTGGTCGTTTGTTTAAAAATGTTTTAGAAATAAAAGTTTTGTTGCCTTCAGTTTATTTTAATAACTCTTTCGTGTGATATTTAATGCGCTTTTCTTTATTTATTTATTTATTTTTTTTACTCAGTTGGAGTTTATGAATATTGTTTGTTTCAAAATAACATTTTTTATAATAAATTATGTTTGCATTAAACAATTTAGTGTTTGTTGTTAGATATGCAAACAAAAATGGCAATAAATACATTAATAACCTGCTTTTTTTTTTTATTGTTTTTGCACTTTATAACCTAAAGTTTGGACATTTTTGTTGCATTGTTTAGTTTATTAAAATGTCGAACATTTCACCAAAATCATCACATTCATCACATTTTCAGGTGGCACAAAAACTAAAAAAAAAAAAAAACATGCTGACTAATTTGTAAAAGTTTCCTGCAGCTTTTTCTGCAGCCCAACATTATACGTAAGATTTACGTGATATCAGAGGAGGGGCGACTTTTATCAAACTGAATTGGCAAAGACTTTAGGCAGCTCCGTTATCAGTGGTTCGGCGTGGGTTTGATACTGAGGCGTGGCGCGGTTTGGTTCGATATAAAGACAGCAGGACAAACCCACCCCAGCAGCATTCTAAACCAACTTCTCTTCCACTTGCTTGCTGACATCGTAGAGGCAGCCATGAGTCTCTCTGACAAAGACAAGGCCCTGGTGAAGGCCATCTGGGCCAAGGCTGAGGGCAAGGCCGCAGAGCTGGGTGCTGAGGCCGTCAGCAGGTAGGCAGAACGCTGTGCACACCTAAATGTCTTGTTTGTGCCTGTTCTCATTTCTAATCGTCTCTCTCTTGTAGGATGCTGGTTGCCTACCCCCAGACCAAGACCTACTTCTCTCACTGGGGAGATCTGAGCCCAGGATCTGCTAAGGTGAAGAAGCACGGTGCTACCGTGATGGGAGCTCTGGGACAAGCTGTCAAGAACATTGATAACCTTGTGGGTCACTTGAGCGCCCTCAGTGAGCTGCATGCCTTTAAGCTCCGGGTGGATCCTGCCAACTTCAAGGTACATTTTCTGACAGATCGATCATTTAGAGTTGTTTTGTTTCTTCTTTACATGAGTGTTTAGGTCATTAAAAAGGTTTTTAATGACTTTTCTCGTTTTACAGATCCTGGGCCACAACATCATCCTGGTCTTTGCCATGTACTTCCCTGCAGAGTTCACCCCAGAGGTCCACGTCGCTGTGGATAAGTTCCTTGCAAATGTGGCCCTGGGACTGTCTGAGAGGTACCGCTAAACACCAACCAGTCTGGAAGCCCTGATTGAGAATCAGAAACATCCCACAATGAGCAACCTTACAAATGTGAGGAGGCTCGTTCAATAAAATCAATTAAAGATATCCGAGTGGCTGTGCTTTTTTTGTTTTTGTTCTCGCCAAAGAATAAGAAATGATTCAAGTGATCTCTATATACAAACAGTGCTGTAAGAAGTGTTTACAAAAGGAAAAATGTCAACACAAATCTGCAATAATAGTTTTCCATAAGCAATGTTAAACATCATTATACCATTTTATAAGTTTTGTAAACCGAAAGGACTTAAATAAATTAAAAATTCCACATTTTTACAATAATAGTACAAAATTTGAATGCTCTAACAGATTTATAGCTTAGTTACTTTCCCTCTATTTTGTACTTTTATCAATATAAACTAAAAACAACTAAACTAAACAATTGTTGGGACATTTTAATGATTTAAAACTGCATTTAAATAAGCAGACTTTTATCAAAAAGGCAGCTTTACCACTTTAAAATCTTCTTTGGCAATTTCTTCATACAGACACATTTATTTGAATCTGTTAATAATGTGCACCAGAACACGATCACTCTGGACTTTATATATTCTGACCCAGAACTTCAAGTGTTTTCTGAGTTTGTTTATTTTTTTAACCCACTTCTGTTTAATTTATTGTTGACAGAGTTTGTTTCCTGAAATTTTCATTTTCCACCCAGAATAGAATCTTGAACTTTAAAAAGAACGGAAAAAAATAGATTTTTAGGACTTTATTTAAAAATAAATAAATAAATGAATGAATAAATAAATAACCTTTTGATTTGATTCCTGATTAGTTTTTTTTTTTTTTTTTTTTTTTTTTTGGTGAAAATGTTCTCAGAGAATGATACTGGACAGGGTCCAGAAGGTCTGGTGTTAGTCCAGATGCCTCTTTGTGACGTGACTCTGGCAGTAAAAGTTACAAACTGTGGTCATAATGTTATGGCTGATCTGTTCATTTAAACTCCATAAAAGTAGATATTGTGTCACAGCCTGCAGGCGCCGGTTTTTCACTTGAGCAGAACCCCATCCGGTCCAAAGAACAGAAGACCTGCAGCGACCCCTGCTGGTGACCTGATAGAATGCAGGGTTAGACTGAAATTGCACTTCAGCACGACCAACAGGTGGTTTTGGGTGTTTATTTTATTGCTGTAAAATGCTTCATTGTTGCTCATAATTCAAGTTACAGTTGTAAAAGTATCATCCATCCATTATCTTTTACCCGCTTCTTCCATTTTGGGTCACGGGGGTGGCCGGTGCCCATGTCCAACAATCACTGTGCGTCCAAGTCCATCACAGGGCCAGAAGAGACAGTAAAAGTATATTTACAATCCATAATTTAAAAACATTTGACATTTCTGTGAGACACAACAACAAAGATGAATGACAAAAAGTAATGAAAGTGTGACATGTTTGTTCATTCTGAGGCTTTATTTAAAGAGTTTTATCAGGTTTTACAACTTGTCTTTATTGTTTCTTCATTTGATATATATTCACACAGCGTGAAGCAACAAAAGGCACAAGTGGAAATAATAAAGCTCCTAAAATCACATCTTCCAATGAGTTTGATCTATTATGTTAAAAAAAAAAGTCCAACTGTGAAGATGAATGGTAAAATGGTAAATGGACTGTACTTATACAGCGCCTTTCTGTCTTATTTCAAGATACTCCAAGTGCTTTAAACTACAATCTGCGCCTCATTTACCCGTTCATACATCACTCTAGACCTCTACAAAGCTAATTGAACAAATCATTCTAAAGAGAGTAATCAGAGCTTTTTAGATCACATTCATACACTGACACATCAGAGGCTATGAGGGGTTCAGTGTCTTGCCCAGGGACACTTCGACATGTGACTGCTGGTGGATTTGAACCCCCAACTCTCGCATTGGAGGACAACTGCTCTCACTGAGCCACAGCCGCTCATGAAGACAGCAGGAAAATGTCAAATTTTTGCTTATTTGTTCATCCGTCCATTATCGTTACACACTTCATCTTTTTTTGGGTCACGGGGGTCACTGGTGCCCATATTCAGCAATCAATATGCAAAAGGTGGGGGACACCCTGGACAGGTCTCCAGTCCATCCCAGGGACACATGGAGACAAACAACCATTCACTCTCTCACTCACACTTACCTGCACATACATTCTTGCACTTTGTCCTAATCTTATTTTCATGCTCCTTGTTGTATTTTTTTTTTTAATTTGAAATACATTTTGACACTCAAAGGCTTTATTAGTGATTAAATGCAGCCCCTTTATTTTTGCCCCAAAGGAGTAGATCAGGTTTGAAACTGAAATGTAAAAAATACTTAATTTTTGGATTTTCCAACCTTTTTGTCTAGATCATGGAGCTCTCCAAAGTTCTGGATATTTTCGCTTCAATGATCTGTGAATTAAAACAGCGGGGGGTCAGCCCCTTGGAGAGCAACAACAAACACTTCATGCCAATCAGAACTAAAGAAAATAAAATTCAATATCTTATTACAGGTAATCGGTAAACGTTAACTGCTAGTCTCAAAATGTTTGTATATTTCAGCTTTTCTCGCTCTCTTTTATGTTATTTTTATATATATATTATTTTTTTTCCCCAGAATGCATTTACAACATTAATTTAATACCAGTGCATTTTGTCCACCAGGACATAAACTTTCTTTTTTATTACAATTTCTTACTAAAACTTTAGTTAAAAAGATTAAAGACCCAAAACATTTTGTTCTTATTGGCTGAAACATTAGGTTTGAGAAATAATTGATTTTGTTTTAATCTGAGAAGCAGAGTTTTGCTGCTTTGAAGCGGTAAAATGAAAGGAGGGATACAATATTTTCTTTCTTACAATCCATTTAAAAAAATGAATGACTCCAACAGAAAACAACAGTTTAGTCCTTTTGGTTTATTTATAAAGACCAGCATCATCTCATGCTCGTTGCTCCCTCTTCCAGATGTTCATCTGTATTTCTCAGACAGAGCCAGAGCCAGAGAGGACAGGAACTTGTCCATGGACACGTGTACCTCAGGGGTGAAGTCACTGGGGTACTGGATGGCCAAAACTACCAGAATGTTGTGGGCGAGGATCTGAAAAAAACAAACACCAAATCAGATTAGTTTGTTTCCTGACAAGCAGCATCCACGTGAGGATGGGGCTATAAAGAAACCACTTGAGTCCTGGAGCTCAGGAGACAATGATCTGGTTCAAGGTTTCAATTTTACCTTGAAGTTGGCAGGATCCACCCTCAGGGTGAAGGCGTGCAGCTCACTGAGGTTCAGGAGACCTTCAGTCAGGTTGTCGATTTTGCCCACAGCCTCACCGACTCCAGACATGATGGTCTTTCCGTGCTTTGCCACCGGGGCAGAGCCGGGGCTCAGGTCCTTCCAGTGGGCGAAGTAGGTCTTGGTCTGAGGGTAGACCACCAGCATCCTTGGTGGGAACAAGAGAGAGAAGGAGTGAATAAAGAAACCATTAACAGGTCAAAGGCAGAGGTCTGAATCGTGTTTACCTGCCCAGAGCATCTTTACCGATGTCCCCCACCCTGGGAGAGATCTTGGCCCAGAAGGCTTTGACGGTGTCCTTGTCCTTAGCAGAGAGACTAGTCATCTTGTCCTTGTTCGTTTAGCACCATGGTCAGTAAAGACCGAAAGAGTTTTATGGCTGCGACAGAACACAGACACACCCAGAACCTCCCATTAGATAAGAGAAGAAAGGCGGTCCAAGTCCTGCAACATCTGGATCGAGAACTGTCGGATAAAGAAAAACACTTTCCACAGGAGATCTGTCAAGGCTTCCATCAATTAGCAAACTTATAACATATAAAATTAACATTTAAATCATTCAAATCTATAATTATAGGCTTTTTGTGCCCCCTTTTAAATAAAGATGGCAAAATAACATATAATATATAAATACAAACTCTAGAGTTTATGATGGCAGTTTAACTATAAGAGTTACATAAAAGTTTACATGAAAGTTTTTTGATCTGACTGAATGTTTCATCTTGATTAGTTTAATTTTTCTTAAATACTTTACTGAGAATTTCATCCAGTCTGAAAGACTAATTATTCAAACAAAATAAAATTGCATTTATTTTATGAATAAAATAGTTAAAATGAGTTCAGTTATAATAAATAACAGCAGAGTAAGTCAAATGAGGTTATTTTAACATTGATTTTTAAATCTAATTGAATTACATTAAAGAGCATTAAGAACTAAAGTTGAAATAAAAAAGTTATTGTTAAGCAAAATTAAAAAACAAACAAATTGCATTAAAATAAAACTAAACAAAATAAAAATCATTCTAAATTACGCGGAAAAAACAAGAACTGTTGAAAATTTTGTTAAAATGTCGTCAAATTTCATAAAAAACAATGGTATTAAAACAAAAATAATGCTAAAATACTCAAATGAAATAATGTTAAAAAAAATTGACTTTAAGAAAACAGAAAAATAATAATTACGTTGCGTAAAAAAATAGAACAGAGTTTTGTATCAATATATCAAATTAATGCAATTTTGACACTGAATAACTTAACTAAATAAATTAAAATAAAATGTTTTAACATTTATTAAGTTCTGATACAGTAAAGCCTTTGTAAATGAAATGAAATAAAACGAACAGCTCAGTTTAAGATGTTTAGCTGTTTGAATATTTTAATCTGATCTTTTAAAACCAGTTTCCAAGAGTAAATGTGTCTTTCTAAATGCAGAGAAGCCTGAGCTGGAACAGATGAATAAACCTGAAGCTGAACTTTTTAGTCATCACTTCTGGCGGTAGATGCTTCTAGAATCGTCTTATCGGTCTCAGGAACAAACGCCCTTCTCTCATCTTTACTCCAAAAGATCTTCTTGTCCCACCAAGCTGGGTGGGGGGTGGGTGGGGGTGGGCTCTGCTTTAAAAGTTGCCTCTGGTGCTGGAGCAGCGGGTACAGCATCCTCTCACTGCAAACGCCATCATGGTGGAGTGGACGGACTTCGAGCGCGCCACCATCAAGGACATCTTCTCCAAGATCGACGCTGGAGCTGTGGGCGCAGCAGCTATCTCCAGGTGACACCCCCCATCCTAACTCCACTCTGACTTACCCTTTATTTACAAGCAACACTTTAAGGTTCCTTCTCGTTCCCGCAGGTGTCTGATTGTGTACCCCTGGACTCAGAGGTATTTCGGCAGCTTTGGGAACCTCTACAACGCAGCCGCCATCACCTCCAACCCCAAAGTGGCGGCGCACGGGAAGGTGGTCATGTCGGGTCTGGAAGCAGCTGTGAAGAACATGGACGACATCAAGAACACCTACAAAGACCTGAGCGTGCTGCACTCCGAGAAGCTGCACGTGGACCCCGACAACTTCAAGGTATAGCCATGCGCCCTCCGTTGAACCGGCGCGCGCGCCACGTCGCCGGTGTTGCTCACGCGTGTTTGTTGTGTTGCAGCTGCTGGCGGACTGCCTGAGCATCGTGGTGGCAGCTCAGCTGGGGAGCGCGTTCACGGGAGACGTGCAGGCCGCCTTCCAGAAGTTCCTGGCTGTGGTGGTCTCCTCCCTGGGCAGGCAGTACCACTAGAGAGGGTCGTTTGAAAAATAAAAGCTCTGCAGGCAGACATGTTGGTGTGTTTACTGAAACTGCTGCACAAAACTACAAAGAGCTCAAAGTGACTTCCGCTCCAGCTTGTTCTTTTAGCTCTCAAATCGTTACATGGAACTATTTCTTTAAAAAGTGGGATTTGATTTTTTTAATTTATTTTATTATTTCCTCGTTTCTGTCACAAAGCAACACAAAAGTCAGCAGTGTATGAAACACAGGCTGAGACAGATGTTGGCTTCACTCAGCAGAGGAGAAACTGTTATTAATGTCATTGATTATTCTTATTAAATCTTAAAACAAAAGTTGCCCATTTTACTTACAGAGAAGGTTGTAAAACAAACAAACAAAAAAATAGAATAGAACATTTGATCAGAAACAGACAGGTTCAAAATTAATAAATGACTCAAACAGTAACAGCAATGCAATGATGACAGCACACACATAATTCACATATTTACAGAAGCACTGTGCAATAAAATAAGTTGTGTAAATGTGTATGCAACTGTAAATATTATTTGAAGAGTAACTATGGGGGTATGCATAATCCCATTCAATTCAGTTTATAGGGCCAAGTCACAACAAAAGTCATTTCAGGACGCAGAGCAGAAACATTCATATTTAAAAGTAATAAGTTAACAAACACATTCATAAAAATAATAATTTAACATTATTTATCTGAGGAGTAGATTGTTTTGGATTTAACGTCATAGAACTCTCATCTTGAGCAAGCATGGAGGCGACAGTGGAAAGGAAAAACTCCCTCCTGAGGAAGAAACCTTTAGCAGAACCAGGCTCAGGACAAGCGGCCATCTGCTTCGACCCGCTGGGTTTGAGAGGAACAGACACACAATGGCAGGTCGACAAGATAGAAATAGTATAAATTGAAAATTATTCAGTTTTAACAATTTATTTAACAACAAAATTACATTATACTATAATCGCAAGAATGATAAAATAGGAAGTAAACAAACAATTATTAGTTAATGATAAAGAAGGGGCGGGATTAAAGAAGTTATGCTTCTTTGTTTTGAACAAGTTAATTATTAATTGTTCTTTTTTATTTTATTCTTTGTTTGTTCCACAAATTTTTTTTTTGCATTGTTTAATCATATTTAAAATAAAACCGAACAAAGAATGAATATGAGTGTAGGCCTGCCGGTGACTTTTAATATGTAAATCACTAAATACATGCTTTTTTCTTTGCTTTCTAAGAAATATAATTATATGCAATAGTTGATTCCTTGGTCCAAGGTTTATCCAGCATAGCTAAAAATCAGGAATCCAACAAAATGATTATTAAAAAAACAGATTAAAGATCGCACCCAGTTGTTTCATGATGTACCAAATTCAATTTGTTATTTTTATTTATTTGTTTTTAGCGAGTGCTAAAAGCCTGAGCTGCATCTTTACAACTAGTTAATGCTGGAAAAAGGACCAGCATAAATGAGCAAATAGATAAGCCTCATCATAAAAATATGTACAGACAAAGAGTTTGTACGGAGTAATTTACTTGAAACATCATTTGAACTGCTTCACCTTCATCATTAATTTTCCAACAGTAGCGAGAAGAACTGACCAAGACAAATAAACTAAATAAATGTGTAAATAAATAGAACACTAGCAAGCAAAAAAGTAGTTCATTTTTAGCTTTAAAAAAAGTGAATGAAACTGTATAAAAAGCAGCTTTTAATTAATTTTTTTTTCTGATTTTAGAAACATTGAAAATGTTCTCAAACAGAACAAAAAAACATATTAAATATTAAAAACACACAAGTCGGTTGTTTTGTGCTTTTTTTTTCACATTCAGGTTTTTATTGATCATAAGCAGAAACACCTCATGCTCGTTGCTCCCTCTTCCAGATGTTCATCTGTATTTCTCAGACAGAGCCAGAGCCAGAGAGGACAGGAACTTGTCCATGGACACGTGCACCTCAGGGGTGAAGTCGCTGGGGTACTGGATGGCCAAAACTACCAGAATGTTGTGAGCGAGGATCTGGGAAAAAACAAACAAACACCAAATCAGATTAGTTTGTTTCCTGACAAGCAGCATCCAAGGAGAGGAAACAAATAAAGAAACTATTTGAGTCCTGGAGCTCAGGAGGCACTGATCTGGTTAAAGGTTTCGGTCTGTACCTTGAAGTTGGCAGGATCCACCCTCAGGGTGAAGGCGTGCAGCTCACTGAGGTTCAGGAGACCTTCAGTCAGGTTGTCGATTTTGCCCACAGCCTCACCGACTCCAGACATGATGGTCTTTCCGTGCTTTGCCACCGGGGCAGAGCCGGGGCTCAGGTCCTTCCAGTGGGCGAAGTAGGTCTTGGTCTGAGGGTAGACCACCAGCATCCTTGGTGGAAACAAGAGAGAGAAGGAGTGAATCAATACACAATAATCAGGTCAAAGACAGAGGTTTGAATTGTGTTTACCTGCCCAGAGCATCTTTGCCGAGGTCTCCCACCTTGGGAGAGATCTTGGCCCAGAAGGCTTTGACGGTGTCCTTGTCCTTAGCAGAGAGACTAGTCATCTTGTTAGTTTGGTGCCGTAACCAGTGAGGAAACACGGTTTTATGGCTGCGACACAACACAGGCACACCCAGAACCTCCCATAAGATAAGTGATGAGAGGAGGGACCAGGTGATCAACAGAGATAAACAAAATATTTAAACAGCAAAACTCGTTTGATCATTTTAAACCATTCAATCCCACCATCAAATTAGAATAGACCAACATCAATTAGTTCTGAGTTAAACTGGAATAAATGTTGATTTAATGGGATTTTAAGTAACTAAATATGATTGATTTGCCTGTAAAATGCACTGAAACAATGTTCAGTTGGTTCTATGTAAATAAAATACTAAACAACTAAAATGTAGGACATCATACAAAATATACAAATAAAATAAGTTGAGTAGAACGGATTTGATTTTTGGTGTTTTGTAAAATGTAAAAAAAAAAAAAAACGTATCGCTTTAAGCATTTTAAAATAAAATCTTCCAGCACATTCATTCTTGACTTTTTTTTTATTTGAAAAAGGAAGTAAAAAAGTTTAAAGTTTCCTGGATGTGTTTGTAAGTGATGGAAACAGACAGAGTCTTCAGGTTTAATCCAAACTGATTAGGCTCTGCAATCACGTTTAATTATTAGATTTATTTGGAAACCTTCCAATAAGCCTCATTAAGTCCTTTTTTTTTTTGCTTTTGCTGCCAAAACGTGTTGCGTTTCAGTGGCTTATCTAATCCACTCCGGCCGCTGTGGGGTGGAGCCACACGTGTTGAACAGATAAGGCTTTAGTTCAGATGATAAATGTTACGCTACTGAGCTGCTAAACACTCTGAAATACATGAATAACATAACCAGTGATGAAAATTTAAAAAAATAACAACAATAACTTCAAAGAGTAATACAACTAGAATGTGCAACATGTGTAAATGAAAATGTTTGATGGGGCTTTTCAACTAATTTAACACATTTTTACAGAAAAACTGTATCTGTCTAAAAGTGTTAAATAAGTGCCTATAAGTATAACCTTAAACTTTTAGTTAAGTAGTTCTGCTTTCACTTTACCCCTCAGCGTCTTCTACAGTGCAAAACTAAAACAAACAAACAAACAAAAAAAACCACTATCTGTTGTAGTGATGCATATTATTAGGTATTAATTACATAATTAAAATAGATTCCCAATTATAAATGTAGTAGATTGATGTTTGTGACAAGTAAAAAATAAGATGTGATCAGGATATGAATAAACAGGCTGTGGGCTCCTGCAGATACTGCTTTTTGGGCCCTGTTGACATAATGATGATAATAATATGATAATATGTTGATGGTATCCAAAATGTCCACATGTCTTCTAGATCCCATCTAAACCAGACTATTTAAAGACGTATTTCCCTTAATTAATAACCACTTCTTGGATCTGCTCAGTTTGTCTCTAATGAATCGTTACGTACCACAGAGTTTTAAGATTGCTGTAATTAAACCTTTACTTAAGAAACATAACCTTGACTCAGGAATCCTAGCCAATTATAGACCTATATTTAATCTAACATTCATCTAAAAAATTCCTGAGAAAATAGTTGCAGGTCAGTTACGTGATCATCTGTAAAGAAATACTTTGAAGAGTTTCAGTCAGGGTTTAGAGCTCATCATAGCACAGAAACTGCACTGGTGAAAGTTACGAATGATATTCTCATGGCCTCAGACAATGGACAGGTGTCTACACTGGTCCTGCTAGACCTCAGTGCTGCATTTGATACAGCTGATCATAATATTCTACTACAGCGACTTGAATATGATGTTGGCATTACAGGAACGGCTCTAAAATTGTTTGAATCATATCTATCTGATAGGTTCCAGTTTGTAACTGGAAATAATGAATCTGCTTCATACACCAAAGTTAGTCACGAAGTTCCTCAGGGTTCAGTGCTTGGACCGACACTCTTTACTTTATATATGCTTCCATTAGGCAAAGTTATTAAACAGCATGTGATAAATTTTCATTGTTATGCTGATGATACACATTTATATTTGTCCATGAAACACAATGAATCCATTCAGCCACTTCGACTACAAGCATGTCTTAAAGACATAAAAGCATCTTCAGGAGTGTACAGTCGTACCTCTAAAGAGCACATCTGGAGGATCAAATCTTTGCCAGCAGGATTTGTTGCCGTAGTTTTTCGAACACGGCAGCTGATATCAAAGTTATGTCAGCTCCTGTATCAAGAAGAGCGTCGTGAGATAGGACCTGTTCTAAGGTCACTGAAAGGTAAAACTTTCTTGCTACCCCTTTTTCAGTTAGGTTACACAAAAATTTTGATACCGGAGGTTCCACTTGGATCCAGGAATCATCTTTCTCAAACCAAGGATCCTCATTATTCATTTGGACTGTTAAGACAGCACTTGGTATGTTGGACTGGCCAGTTTCTGTTTCTGAACCAGAAATGTCAACATCAGTGGTCTCTACATCAGCGACATGAGGGGGGAGACACAATCAGCGGCCGCGGATTGGGGCTTCAACTCTTTAGCTTGTTGTTCCATTGGCCAGTTGGGAACAATGAGAGACTCATTTTCAGGTGTGAAAGATGCTATAGATAGGAGATCAACCTTCTTGGACTCTTCCTGTTTATGCATTTCCTCCAAAATACGTTTAATCATTTCCATTTCTTTGGAAGTGAGACCTATACAGTCATCATCCTGTTGAGGCTTTGACTCTTTCATCTTTTCAGAACGTCTCTGACATGGTGAAAGTTGTTCTCTTTCAGGTCGAGAGCGACGGTTCTGAAATTGACGGGTCTGCCTTTGAGATTGGTTATTACCGGAAAATTTGAGATTATAATTGGGAGAGCGTCTACCCCCTGATAAACTTTGTTATGATTTCGGTAGTCAGAGCTTGGGTAATCGTGGTCCCTCCCAGAATCTGGGTACCGATTAGATCTTTTAACTTGATGAGGATTTTCAGGCTCAAAATGTTGTGGCCTCCTCTTGAACTTGGGTGATGGAGGGGCAAATTTAACTTGTTGTGAGTCAGGGTTTGCTCTTCCTCCTTCAAGGTCCAAGGGAAGAGAACTTGTGTTTACAGCTAAAACTGTATTTGGTTCAGTGGGCCTGGACTGTTTCACCTTTTGGAAGGTTAAAGTTGCCCCTCGTGTAATTGTTGGATTGAGGCTGTGTGAGGGTTAGCCGTTATGCCTAGTTGACTGCTAACCAAAGGATGGAGACTCTGGATGAAGATAGCTTTAAAGTTAGGATCCTCCTCCGTCTGCGGGAAATTATCAGAACCAGAATAAGCATGTAAGATTCAGTAGTAGTAGTTGTTTGGTGACTCTTGTCTGCCTTGTCTGGTGTTCAGAGCAGAGGTCAGACCAGATTGTAATGTGTGATCAGAGAACTCTCTCTCAAGAGCCTGGCATAGATGATCGAGATCTGCTCGTACATGGAAAGTTGACCATCCATGAACTTAGTGACCTTTCTACTAGCAGTTGATTTAATTAAATATATGTAATCCTGAACGGTAGCTTCAGGAAATCTTCTCAGGTAGAACGTCAGGTCATCAAGATAAGCTCTAATGTCATGTTGACCACCTGGTGTGGGGTCAAAACGACTGATGATTTTAGCAATTTTGTCCCATTCCCTGTCGGATGGACCATGCTGGACTTGGTCTCTCCTCAGGTGTGAGGACGGGTCAGTCTTACCAAGTATTGGTGTAAATGGAGGGACAGTCCAGTTTAACTTGGGCGAGAGGGACCCACGGTCGTACTCACCTGTTGGTCTACTTGCTTGTTGCAGATCACCAAATTGTGTTGGGCAAGTGTGAGAGGGGGGTCAAACCTACCGGAGGAGGTGGTCCCCCACTTCTGGTTGGGTCGACACCTGTATCAGGAAGTTCCTGTGTGTTTATGCTTTTAGGCTGTTCCTTAGACAGCTGGTGCTGCAAATATTGGATCTGCACATCTTTTAGAAGCAACTGTCTACCATAAGTATTGTTGTTCATCTTCAAACGATCTAGCTCATGAGAAACTTTTTGGAGGTCATGATGAACGTTTGTGTAGGCTTCCCTCTCCAGCTTTAGATTTTGTTGGGTTGTTGTAAGTTCATTCGCCACCTGTAGGTGATTTTGATAGAGGAGCTTAAATTTTTCTGTTAACTCAGATAACTCTGTAGCAACTTTGCTCTGATCACTTACCTCAGGACTGGTTTTAAGAAGTTCATTCTCTTCTTTTAACTGGATTTATTTTCTGCTTTTTTTCTTTGAGTGTTTGCAGCGTGAATGAGAAGTTCATGTGTCATTTGCAATCTCTTAGCTATAACAATTGCTAATTCACCAAGCATTTTGGTAGCATCTTGACTCGTTAGGGTTTCCAGCAAGACTTTGTCTGATAACTCAAGTGTGATTTGCTCTAATTGGTTTGAATCCTATTGATGGACTCCAATAACCGGGATTTGTTCCCGATTAGTTCTGTCAAGGCCTGTTGCAGTGTGGAAAAGGGGCTCTCGTTTAAAATCTAAACAGAAAAAGCTGCCTATCAAGTGTTTTATCTGACTAGTTGAATTCATTTTATGTATTTATAGCAAACTGGGTGATTTATAAAACACATAAAACTAGTTGTCTTATTATTCTTTTGTTAATAGTTTCTTATTTTCTGCGTTTTAGTCCCCACCCTTCCCTCAGTCAGTCATTTTCCATCGTTGGCCTTCACTCCCTGGTCCCATCCCACCCACTTACACCTGTTCCCTTTTGTCAATTAGCCCAGCTCTTTCCTCTCTTCTCATCCATATGGTCTCTAGTCTTCAGTCTGGCATTGTGTGAGCTTTCGGTTTTTGCTTCCTCCGTTTTGTTATTTTGTAGTTTTTGCGGCCACGTTAGACTTTTGTTTTTTGTTTAATAAACATGAAATTTTAAGTTTTTGTTCTAGCTCCTCGTGTTTTTCTTAACTCCTGGGTCCAATCTCTACAAATGGTGACAATGCTTGAATCTAAGTCTGAAATATATGAATAATAGATGCCTTAAAAATGGCACTACTTTCACTCAGTTTTATGAATTACCACAGGATCCTTTTTCTAAATATTCATAATTATTGAAATGAATAGGAGCGACTATAAAATGAGTTATCAGTCTACCAATTAAAAATGTTTAAATGTTGCTTTATCTCAAAAGGGATGCTATCAGCCATTAAATTACCCTTATTAGTTGTTATCATCTCCATAGGTTGCGTTCAGACTGTCCCTCCTGTATCATCCTAGTAGGTTTAAAGGTGCGTTCTTATAGTTGATAATAGGGTCAGGGTTAGGTTAAGGCTCAGGGGACAGGGGGTTAAGTTTAGGGTCAGTGCTACGGGTCAGGTGTAAGGTTTAGTTTAGGAAAAGGGTTAAATGAAGCTAACCAAAAAAACCTTCCGGTTTTACACATGGGCGATGCTGCATATTATCAGCAATAACAACATACCTTTAAAACTATAGAAGGACAGTCTGAACACAACTTATGGGGATGATAACAACTAATAATGGTCATTTAATGGGCTGATAACATTCAAAGCTCCTGGGGATGCAATGGTCTGTGTTGATTTTCTAAAGCAGAAGCTCTCATACAAAAAGATTTGTGAATTTATGCTGTAATGAATAAATGCGAGAGTGGTCAACATTTAATAACTGTTTTCTGAAATGCACATATTAGAAGAGACACAGTCCAGAATTGTACATAAATCATCAGAAAACAAACTACAGAGCTGTGCTGTTACATAAAATAGGTGTGAGAATAAAAAATCTACATGTATAAAAAGACAAGATACTTAAATTAAAACCGTCAAAAGTTTATCAAAATTTTATCACTGAAAAGTGAATATGAAAAATGTGACAAAAATCTTTAAAAAGTAAACAGACATTTTGACATCGATAGCCTCCACGCTTTTGTTCAAGGAGTTAGACTTTAGGCATAGTATTTAGGAGTTTAAAATTACTTCAATATTCATAACTTACACGAGACAAACCTTTTAAGACTCACTTACTCGTTCCCTGACAAATCTAGCTTCCCTGTCTTGTAAAATTTTACAAACACACATAGCAAAACAAATACAATCCGATCTTTTCTTTCCGCCACCAAAATACCTTCATGACTATAAATACAAAAACTCTAATATTGCAGAAAATAATTTCTTTCCTTCTTCACACTGATACCAGATCGGTGTCGCTGGACTGTGCAGCCTCAGAGCTCAGGGAAAAGAAAAAAACAACAAAAAAACTTTTGGTTTAACATCCAAAATGTGGTCAATACATGCATTTAATTGATGTGTTTTAATTAAGCTAACTGCCTGGGAGGTAAAACTATAAACTTCAGAGGTCCTGGATAAAAAGAACATTATAAAAATACTCTGGTGTAAATAAATCTAGAGTATAACTGTTGAGGTGGTGTTATTATTTAGTAGCATCAATGAGCCAGTTGATGCAAGGACACTTATCTACGAGAGTTGGCTTCTTTTATTCCAGATGGCAGTAATGGTCACACATAATGATGCTACAGTGGAACAGCTACTCCACGTGTTTAAATAAAAACTCTTTGCTCCAATCAAATTCAACATGAGATCAATGTGAAATAAAGCAACAAGTGTATAATAATAATAATAATAATAATGACCAGTATAATAAAATCAGGTGGTTTTGATTTGTAAGTGCCACTACAAACAGTGCAGACGTGAGTTTGTTATGCCAGGCTGATGATTACACACACACTCATTTATCATACACACTATATACTTTCAAACACAAGTAAGTTTCCAAAATGACAATTGTGCGCTAAAAAACTAACGTATAACAATGGTTAAAAACTGTCACGTAATATTCATCTCATTAAAATGTACCTAAATTAGTCAACCCTATAAACAAACTCATGTTTTTTGTAATTACACGGGGGGGAAATGGGGGGAAATGGGTGCAGAGCTGCAGGAGTGTGGTTTATTTCAGGTCACCAGAAGGCGGAGACGAACCCAAGAACGGAGGCTTGGGAGAAACCTAAAAAAAAAAAGTTATAACAAATATGTCATCAAATAAATACGAGCTGAAAACCTTGATTTAGATCTTATACTCTACAGAATATCTTGGAGAATTGTCACATTGCAAATGATTTAGTGATGCATTAGATCGAACAGGTACTTATACAGCAGTCCCTCGTTTATCACGGGGTTTAGGGGACACGCCCCCCACGATAAGTGGAAAACCGTGAAGTAGGGATACAGTAGTCCAAGGACAAGTTTCACTCCCAATCTCCCACCTTCTGTGTAAATAAACAATTTAAATTCAAATACTGTAATATTTTAAATAAACAAACTATGCAGCATGGATTGTTTATTTAAAATATTACAGTATTTCAATTTAAATTGTAGAGAAGGGAAGTGCAGCAGGACAGCAAAGGGTTAACCCTTCATGCAGCTGATGCAGCACAGAGCAAAAATGTACTTCTTGATCAATTACGCTGTAACAACTGAACATAGAAGTTCTAAAATAATTAAAAAATAACTTCTTAACACTTTTGTATTTTGTGATTATGACGATTTTACGATGTGACATACTTTGAATTTTAAGTTGGAAGACAAAAGTCGGTCATTGCATCTGGACAGCAAAGGGTTAACCCTCGAAGCTGCTGCAGCCGGAAGAGAAATGTGGGCGGGGCAGAGAAGCCGCAGGAGGCAGAGAAGGAGATCATGACAGGCTGCAGAGGGAGCTTCTCCCTGCACATGTGGGCTGCACACAGGCGCTAAATCATTTAAAATAATTTATTTTAAATAAACAATCCGTGCCGCTTGTGTGGCTCATCCATCAATCAGCCAATTGTGTGTCATGTCCACTCTTACTTTGAAAAACCGTGAAAGAGTGAGTCCGCAAAAGTCGAACCGCGAAGTAGCGAGGGACTACTGTACTATATCGGCAGTACTAGTAATTATTCCCTAGTATATTTAGTGTAAATGTCCAGGTGAGACAACATCAGGTGTATTTACAACAATAAGACAAACAAAACTTGGTTTCTTTTTGGAACAAAGTGCTTTTTAGGATTCATTTTTGAGCATTTTATAATATTATATATTATATCATATTATATTTATTCTGTCCATACAATAATATTCAATAGGGTCGATTTCTTGTCTATTATTAACAAATAAAGCAGCCCTATCAGAAAATGGGTAACACGGTTTTATGTAAAATAATCATCATGTTGAAGTATTAGCTTTATTAGCTCATACAGATTTGTTGCAATAATTCATAGTAACATTAATTTGATATAAGATACATTTGCTTGCATAAATTTATGTACATTTTTTAATCAAACAAAAGGGAAACTATTTTTTTTTTCATGGTCATGGTTCCATTTTTGTTGAATTACAGTTTACTCCATAGCAGGTGTACTCACAGGAGATGGAGGCTTGGCAAAGTTGAGATGAGCGTACAGAAGAACAGCAATGTCATTCTGGCTGGCCTCCAGGGCGATGGACAGAGCTGTGCTGCCATCCTGCACGATACAGCGACACGTTTCAGGCGAAATTACAGGTATCAGCTGGATTTATAATACCGAGAAGCAGGCGAGAAACGCTTACGTTGTCAGTGAGAGTTGCATCGCAGCCTTGGACGGAAAGAAGCTGGCGAACTATATCCACGTGACCGTGTTCACAGGCGCACATGAGCGCTGTGGAGCCGTCGTCATCACGGATGTTGACCTGAGCTCCGCAGGACAGCAGCGCTCGAACCATGTCCCCTCGACCGTGACTCACTGCAAGCATCAGAGCCGTCTGCCCAGCCTGCAAACACACATCATTCCAGTTTTAATGATTTATAACATATTCAAGCTACAGCCATTAAAACTGCAACATCTATTTTAAACCCTTGTGCTGTGTCTGGAGCTAAGAGAGTTCTAATAAAAATGTTTTGTCTTGTTTGTAAGATGGAGATGCAGAAAAAGCTAATGTGCAGAAGAGTGCGCACCTGGCTGGCCTTGGCGTTGACATCCCCCGTGCGCAGCAGCTGCAGAACAGTCTGAAGGTCACTGTCCGTGTGGAAGGCAGCCAGAGCCGTCAGCATGATGGCCGTGTAGCCCGCCTTGTTCTGCTTGTCAGCACTGCACAAACCTGCGAGGATAAAAGAGGGCGATCAGTGGCAGGTGATCCAGCTGCGCCCAATGACGGGCAACGCAGATTTATTATAGGGCCATGCAAGAGTCTGTGATTAATACAATCAATCATATAAAAAGGCACTAATTTTAGCCTTTATTATAATAAAATAATATTTTTACATGATTTAATATTTCTTATAATTCTTCTTTCTCGTATTAAATAAATATGAAACTGTAAAAAAAAAAAAATCTATTTTTGCAGCAGCCAACAACAACAAAAAAACTGGTGTCTGTTAATCTATTGAGTGAATAAAATTAAATGTTAATCTAATGCTTATTCAGCATTCATACTGTTGTCCTGATTTTTTACATTTTCTGTATTTTTAGCAACCTAACTTCTGCATAGTTTGTGGTATTTTAGCCATTCATATATCAAAATGTTCAGCTAATTAATAATAATAATAATAATAATGTGTTATGTATTATCATCATTGTATGTTCCTGTACAATGGCAAAATTGGATCTTTGCATTTAACCCATCCACCACCAGGTGGTGCTGGTGGGCAGCTATTGAAAGCACGCTCTGAGCATTTTGGGGATAAGGTGTGCTGCTCAGCCACCACTAGATGTGCAATGACTGGGGATCAAACCTGGGACTTTCGGGTCCTGAGTCGGCTGACCAGCCTCTACACCATCATGTGATGGGCATTACAATTATATTTTGTTTTGAGTAACTTTTAACTTTATTTACAAATGTTTTCCTTATAAAACTCATGGAGAGCTCCTCATAAAAAATAAAAAAAAGTTTATCTGAAATCTTCAGGGTACTTGAATTATTTTTATTCTCTTGTGTTACAATTTCCTGCTGGATCAATAAAGTTCTTATCTTACTTTAAGCTTTAAGCTAACATTCTGTGACTTTTAGCTTTTAACTATCCATCCATCCATTATCTTTTACCCGCTTCTTCCATTTTGGGTCACGTGGGTCGCCGGTGCCCATGTCCAACAATCATTGTGCGAGGGGCGGGGTACACCCCGGACTGGTCGCAAATCCATCACAGGGCAGCTTTTAACTAGCCTTTTGCTAATTTTAGCTAGATTTTTGCTACATTTAGTTTTCAACTAGAAGTTTGCTACTTTGTCTTTAGCTGGTGTTGTTCTTAGCTTTAAGCTGGTGTTTTGTTTATTTTAGTCTTCAGCTAGTGTTATGCTATTTCCAGCTTTAACACCATGTTTTATGTCATTCAGCTCTCTGCATTTTTGCAGAAAATGTTTTTTCTCTAGTTTCTCTTAAGATAGTTTTGTACAAAGTAAACAATCACATTGAGCTCACCTGTGTCCAGCAGAAGTTTCACCACGGGAAAGTTGGAATGAGACACGGTGTAGTGGAGCGCTGTGTTCCCATTGCCATCTGCCATGTTGATCACAAACTCCAGCAGCTGAGGGGAGATGGAGGCGAACGTGTCCATGTAGGCCTTGACAACAGCTGTGTCGGCTGCTTTGTGACAGGACACACGCAGCCACTCCTGCAGCACGGTGGTGTAGGCCGTCCTCTGAGATCAGACACAGTGAGGACACTTAAAGCAAATAAACACTGAACACACAAACAGAAAATCACAGCTCTGACCTGAACTCTTGGTAAAGCAAATCAAAGTGCGTGCAGGGTTTGTTGAAATCCATCAAAAGTATTCTTTGACTTTTCAGCACAGATGTAAAAATGCTAAATTTACATTGAAAAGTGGTTTCAAAACTGAGTTTTAAAGAAAGCAATATTCTAAAGTTTAGAAAATGCAACAAGTAGATTGGGAAATTCCTAGAAAGAGTCTGAATTAGATTGGCTACTCACTGCTCCTTGTTGGCTGAAGGCATTTGGTTCCCCCAAAGCTTTCTGCAGGGAATATAGAGCTGACATGAAGCTTTCGCTCAGCTCCAATCTACACAGAAAACAAGCAAAACATCAATCAGTCGCACAAATTTAATCCTCACCATCAGACTGACTGGTTAGCTGGGAGCGTACTTACCTGACTTGTTTGAAAGGTGCTGCTGCATCTGCTGGCTGACTGGAGGGGGCAGGTGTTTCTTGTTTGGCAGTTTCAGAGCTTTTATTGACAGATGTTGCTGAAGAAGAAGTAGCTGAGGGTTTAATGGAGTTTTGACCAGGTGTGGACGTGGCTGTAGGTGCCGTGGACGTGATCTCCGGGGTGTTTTCTGATAACTGTTCAACAGTTTCTTTAGAGGCAGAATCCTTAGCTGGACATGGAGATGAGGGGGAATCTGAGGCACATTTTTGCACAGTAGTGTCTGTCGCTGGTGACTGAGGAGGTTTCCCCGACTGTCTTGTGTCTACAGTTGTGGAATGATCGTGCTGCGAGTCAGGAGGTTTGGCTGCAGGTTGCTGAGGTACACTGGTGCGTTCTTCTTGGGGCGGGGGAGCCTCAGGGAGGGTTGCGTGCTGGTGCTGGACGGGAGGCTCTGGTAGCTTTTCTCTGGCTTCATGATATTCACTCGAGTCACTCCCCTCATCTGAACTCTCACTGCTGCTGTCGTCTGATGACGTGGATTCATAACTGAAAGACAATTTGCTTTTCATGATTTCACATTTCAGAAATGTAGCAACTTTGCATTCCTTTGCATTTAGCAGAAAATAGTGATCATCCACCACCAAAAGGCGAAGCTGGACAATAATAAAATACACATTTTTGTTTCCCTACATGTACCACAGTGAATAGAAATAGCTCATTGCTGGTCTGCAATAATGGACACTTACCCTCCATTGACTCCAATGAACTGCAGGTTTTTCTTTGTCGAGGGAGAGCCTGGTTCACCTTGTGCTTTCCGCTTCATAATTGATCTTAGTGAGGACTGAGGAGATGAGGCTAAAAAAAGAAACCATCAATCAAACACCAAGTTGAAACCTGATTAGAATAAAATGGGATACTGGTGGAGGAGTTCAGTCCTCATACCTGCTTGTGACTTTCTGTGCTCACTAGCCGTTTGTGTCTCTTCTTTTGAGTGCACCAAACCGATTTGATTACCAGAAGCTACAACAATGGCAGGATTAGCAACTGGTACAGAGGTAGACAACCCGCTTTTCAGGACATCGCGTACCTGCTTAGAGCTAACTGCAATCGGCAACTCAACTGGACCTTCTAAAAAGATGGGGGAAAAACAAAAACAATTAAAGAACTTCAACAAATATATGAAGAAAAGCCGTTAAATAGACACCATGGTAAAAATAAAATCTGTTGAAATCCAAAAAGCCTGGATTATACATTAGGTTTTTCAGACTATAATTAGTGGTCATCTAGTATTAGACTTGAAGTATGTCTAAGGTTTTGCATTTTGGTATAACGTAAACTCAACAGAGAGAACTTTATAATAATATTCAAACAAATAATTTAGTGTATTTTGTCCTACTTCACCAGCAAAGCTCAGACCTTCAGTTTGTCCTTTGTGGTGTCCCTCTGTTGCTCCACCAGCTGGTTGCAGTGATGGGGAGCTGCAGGGCTCTGCTTGGAGCAGCGTGCCCACCTCCACCACTGTAGGTTTCTCCAGTGTGTACACCTGGATCCCCACAGTTCGTTGCCGTCTCTGATGTGGCTGCTGTGTAAAGCTGACCAGCGTGTGCAGACTGCTGCCCTGTGGCTCCTGCCACCCCATGCTGGTTGCCATTACTGGATGCTCCGCCTTAGGAGCCATTTGGGCTGCTGTGACCTGCTGCTGTGCAGCCTGCAGCTCCTGCATTGTCCTCTTCAACTTGCCCTCAAGCTGACCTACATGATCTTTAAGAGTTTCCGTCTCAGAGAGCAGACCCAGATCCTTCTCCCGAACCCAGACTCCCACATCACGACTGCTCCTACAGCCCTCTGGCCCCACACCAATGGTGCGTACTTCCCTCTTTGAATCTGGTCGGGCTCCACCAACGATCACCGTATCTTCAATTTCACAACCCGAGTCTTGCTTGGAGGCTTCAGCAGTGGATGGAGATATAGGCTCGGCTGTTTTGTTGATAATCTTAGCTCCAGTGCGCACATCCTCTTCAGGAATGTCTATGTAGAGCTCCCCACGTGTACGACCTCGGCTAAAACCCAGCGTGTGGCCGAGAAACTTTTGGCTCTTTAGCTGAACGCTGAGCTGCCTCTTCTCCTCCTGCAGCACAGAGATTTTAACCTGCAGCACAGGGATGGTCTTCACCTGGTCCTCAAGCTCCTTTATCTTCCTGAGAGCTGCAGCCATCTGCTCTCGGACATGTTGTAAGTGGGCGGGGGTTGGAGTTACTGGTGTGGACAGGCCAGAGCTTATTGGAGTGAAGGACCCCCCTCCACCTTGAGCCCGATTGAAGCTGTGTGCACTGCTGATGGAGGTGTTCGAGCCCACCACACTGCTGTGCATGCTGCCCAGGTTGGAGAATCTTCGCCCTTCTTTCTCTTCCTCCAGCTTCCTGCGAGCATCTAAAAGGGTCTTCTCCACACGAGCAGTACTAAAACTGGGCCTCTGTGACGTGTGGTAACCCGGGGCGCAGTAAGAGTACGAGGAATGCCGGCTGTCCACACTGGCGTTAGAGCACAGAGACTCTGTGGAGGTCCACCAGGAGCCGGCGTAGCCGTAGCCACGAGGCAGGGAGCCATAGCGTGGCCGACGTTGTATAGGCACCTTCTTGATTGTGTTCCCCTTTTCTATGTCGTTAACATATTTGAGGAAGTCTAGGTCCAGACGGTAGCCATAGGGGGTCTCCACTGAGTAAGGCGCCTCCTGTTCTTTGGTGTGCAGTGATGGAGGAGCAGGCGGGTTGAGTTTCCCTGCAGGGGAAGGAAATCAACTTTAAACAAACGGAAATCTGTGTCTAATCTTTGTTTCAGACTTTAGAAAACAACATAATCTCTGGGTTGATGACTATATATGCATGCACTCTGAAAGATGAACCAAATTAAGAACTAAATGGATTGAAGTTGAGTCTAACCTGGTCTTAAGAAATAAAAAGTGAGTATTTTTATACATTAGATGAGTGTCAGGTAAAACCTTAATCAGTTAACTATATAAAATCCTACAGACGAGATAAAATTGTTAAATTACAATAAAATGAAAGATTGTGGTAATAAAAAAAATCCTAAAAGTATAAATTAAATATACATAAGCTAAAAACACTTTAGTAAACATTTGTCATTCCTAAAGTGAGATTTCTCCAAAGAGCAACTTTACCTATTCATTAGATTTTCTATGCAACATTTATTTCCTGGATATTTTTTACTTATCTTCAAGGATTCAAGGTTCTTTGTCATACACACCACATGTGACCCTGTGTACAAAATTGTGTACACAGAGTCCCTGTTACATCCAACAAAGTATTAAAATGTAAAAGAAAAACAGTAATAAGATCTAAGATATGAACTAAGAATAACTTTAACTAAAATACACTAAGCACTAGTAGTATAAAAACAATACGCCGAACAGCAGCACAAACATAAGTCTCTGTGAGCAGATGAGCACGCATTAGCACAGCAACATGAAACAGATCAGCAGCGACATGAAACAGATCAGCAGCAACATAGTGTGATTTTTTTCACAGTGGTTATTCTGGTTAGAGATTCATGAGTCTAACAGCCTCAGGGTAAAAGCTGTTACTGAGTCTAGTGGTTCAACTCTTTATGCTCCTTAACCTCCTGCCTCAGGAGAGTGGGGCAAAATTGTGTGTGCTGGGTGTGTGGGATCCTTCATGATGCAGGTGGCTCTCTTCCTGCATCTGAAGGTGTAGATGTTTGTGATGGTGGGGAGACGGACTCCAACAGAGTTCTGTGCAGCCTTCACCACTCTCTGCAAAGCTTTTCTTTCTGCAGCTGTGCAGCCTCCATGCCACACGTTGATGCTGGAGCACAGGATGCTCTCCACTGCACACCTGTAGAAGGAGGCGAGGACTGAGCTTCCCAGACCAGCTCGTCTCAGCCGCCTGAGGAAGTAGAGTCTCTGATGAGCTTTCTTGATCAGGCTGGTGGTGTTGTTGCTCCAGCTGAGGTTGTCATTCATGTGTACACCCAAGTACTTGTAGCTGGAGACCACTTCCACCGCAGATCCTCCTATGTTCGGGATGGGGGGGTAGGTGTGTTTGTTCCGCCTGAAGTCCACAACTATCTCCTTTGTCTTCTTCACATTGATGTGAAGGTTATTTTTTCTGCACCAGCTCTCCAGGTGTTCTACCTCCTGCCTGTAGCTGGACTCATTGTTGTTTGTGAAGCATCCCACCACCGCTGTATCATCTGCAAACTTTACAATATGACAGCCTGGATGGGTTGGTGCACAGTCATACGTTAGAGTGAACAGGAGGGGGCTCAACACACAGCCCTGAGGGGAGCCAGTGCTGAGGGTTATGGTGGTGGAGAAGTAGTGGATCCTCACTGACTGTGGTTTGTTAGTTAAGAAGTCTAGTACCCAGTTGCAAATGGAGGGGCTTAGTCCTAACGTGAGTAGTTTGTCCATCAGGGTTTGGGGGATCATGGTGTTGAAGGCAGATGTGAAGTCCACAAAGAGCATACGAACATAGGAGCGATCTTGTATTGAGTATTGGTTTAACTAAAAGTATTGAGCAATACTTATACATTGTTAGAATTCTATTAATATGTACATGTATAACAATGTATAAATACAAGTAAACAATGTCCAGGAAATAAATGTTGCATAGAAAATCCAATGAAACAGTAAAGTTGCTCTTTGGAGAAATCTCACTTTAGGACTGAAAAATATTTACTGAAGCTTATGTACATTTAATTTAAACTCGACAAATGTATGATGACATATTTCACGTGGTGACTTTTATACATCTCAGAATTATATTAAAATATGTAAATTTATGAGATATATAAAAGTCACTATGTGAAATATGTCATCTGTTTTTGTTTAGCTCCTATGTTTAATATTTCACTATTTATTTGTTCTACTTATTTGTATGTCGACTTTATATCAGTTGCTGTGAGTAAAATAAACGCACCTGGGAAACCGGGGTCCATGTGCAGCACTTGAGCCATGATGAGGGTGTGGCTTCCTCTCAGTCATGCAAAAACTCCCACCTGTTGGGAAATGCACGTTTAAAATCAAAATAAGCATAAAAACAGTCTTTAAAACACATTTTCTTTAATTATGATTAACTTAAGCTGGAAGAAAACTATCCTGTATGAAAATGAAACCCAGACGGTTCACTGCCATTTGTTTCAGATTGGGCCTAAAAATTATTTTTTGGCTTTATTGTTCTTTATGCAAGTTGATTAGGAACAAGTTCACCTTTTTTCTAAGCCCCCTGCTCCCCCCATGTCTAATTTTATCCACTCGTTTTCTGAAGGGTGGCTGCTTGTGTATCTGCCTCTGTTTGCAGCACAGAGAGGAGTTACAGGGGAAAGTTTCCTGGCAGCTAGTTCCAGGACCGACGTTTGCCAGTTGCAGCCTTATTAGGAATCATCCGTGCACACTTACTTCGCCCCTCAATTTAAGCTTTGCAGACAGTCTCTGCTCCCTCTCCACCTCACTTTATTTTTTTAAAAAATTGTTGTCTTCTACATTATTTTTTTTAACTTTCTGCCAGTCTTTTCTTCAGTTTTCTGAGCATTTCTCCTTTTTCAATCAGCTGATAATCAGCAGGTCTTGGATGATCACTCTTTTTTCTCCCCATCAACACACTTTCTAAAAAGGTATTATAGTGAATAAATATCAATTTATCTAAAAAAAAAAATACATGATTGACTTTTTTCCTTTCACAGAAAGCAACATGTTGGCAGCAGCAGCGTAAAGCCTTTTTTGCTCAGAGTTTGTCTTGGAAAATATTAACTTTCTAGGTCATTGCTTTGTGGGAACAGGAGATGTAATGTTTAAGCTAGGCTGAATATCATTATTTTACTGTAGCTTTAAGAAGCTGGAATCACAAGTTTAAGTTAAACAACTGCAGCCTTTTTTCTTAAAGCATGTTCATTTTGATAGAGTAAGAGGTCATTTCGTGTTTCTTCTTCTCCCCCTGTCTCCGTCTCAGTCTTGTGACCATAACTGGTGCTTGCTCGTTTGTGAAAAGTAGGGCACTTGGAAACACTGACTAAACTGATTTGGTATTTTTGAAGTGCTGCTGTGTTCAGTTCAATTTCTCTGTGTGATTCTCCTCATCTGTACTCTTTCATCCCCTTTCTGTACTGAGGTGACCACACGCTGCACATCAGTGGAAACATTGTATGCATATGCACACGGTATACCCATTCAACAAGGAAATTTAAAGCCCCACTGTCACTACCACTGCCATCACCGTCAAATGGTGGGAAGAACCACAGTTAGACAGAGCATGAGGAATTTATCCAATGACCCAGATATAAACTGTTAGTCAGCCTTACATACAGATATGGATACATTTGATTGCTCCCAACAAAATACCCACAAAGGTCACTGAACTAAGTTGAAACTGACACATGTAAGAAGAAGAAAAAATAAAAAAGAAGAACAAAAACAAGAACAAAAAGAACAAGAAGATTTTGATTTTTAACAAAACTTTATTTACACAATAAGTTTAAAAAAAGGTGATCATGACTAGCTTAAAATAAAATATTTACATGAGAAGCTTGTTGAATTAAGAGCAACAACAACAAGATGAAGAGCAAGAAGAACAAGAACAAAAAAGAACAAGAAGAAGAACAAGATGAAGAACAAGAACAAGACAAAGAACAAGAAGAAAAAATAACAAGAACAAAAAAGAACAAGAAGAAGATTTAGATTTTTAACAAAACTATTTACACAATAAGTTAAAAATAGTGATCAGGACAAGCTTAAAATAAAATATTTACACGACGAGCGTGTTGTATTAAGAAGAAGAACAAGATGAAGAACAAGAATAAAAAAAGAAGAACAAGAAGTTGAGAAAATTAAAATAAAATAAAATAATGAAAATCCATCATTGCTAGGGAGAGTTGTCTCAGGAGCGTAGCAACAAACATAATGAGCAGCGTGCTATAGGTAAAGAGCATCTCCAAGCAGCTTGATGTTTTGGTGACTACAACTGCACAAATTATTCAGAATTTTAAGGACCACAGGACTGTAACCAACCTCTCTGCACGAGGCTGCAAGATAAAAATTAATGACAAATTGAAGAGATCGAGGTTTATTTTTTATTTTATCATGATCAACAAAAATACTAAAACAATGCTCGACTTTCTGTAGTTGATTTTAATTAAATATTACTTGTCAGTTTTGAGTTATTTCATTGACCTTTTGTGGACTTTTCTTTCATTACGCAAACACACTTTATCACATCTGTAAATTCTGCACATACTATAGAAGGTTGTAGATGTAAAAAGATGGATTGCTGATTTTAAACACCATGAAATGTTTAAGGAATTTTGGCTCCCTGCCATCACGCTTCACTCCGAGTGTCTGCCTTCAGCGTTAAGTGTCAAACTGATTACGTGTTGCATGATGTAGTGTGGTGTCGGTGTGGCCAAATGTGTGAGAAAGTGACACAGAGGAGTGTTTGGAAGGGACAGTGTGTGTGTATGTGTGACAGAGAAACAGAGTGTGAGAGTCTGTGGGCAGGAGGGTGGAGGACAGAAGGACAGTTGATGAGATATAATTAGAGTCGGTAGTTTAGTAACCAAAAATCCAATCCAGACACAAAGGCTTCGTCCACTCAGTCTCTCTCGATTCCGCGGTTTTCTTTTTCATCCCCTTCAATTCATATCTTCACAGTCGTATTTGTTTCAGCTTCAAATTTCTCTTCTGTGGAAGCTTTTCCTCCCACATCAGTCCCCCCCGAAAAACGCCCACACCACCCGACTTTCGCATCTGCTTTTCCATCAGTGGCTAACTGGGTGTTTCAGATGTGCTAGCATGTGTGTACATATTCCCATGAGTGTCTGCTGAGGAGGAGGAGGAGGAGTGTCTGACCTTCTTCCCTCTTTCAGCTCTTCTACAGAGTTCCTTTGAAATGACACTTGAACAGAAACCAGTGTTCACCTTTGACCTGCAACATACTACAATTGTTTAAACAACTCACCCTGGCCATTTTCAACCAGGACAATCCTCACCGAAACACACACACATACACCTTCTACAGCTTGATACCAAAGTAAAGGAAGCAACTACCGCCTGGTCTACTCCCTCCATTCCCTGCTATTAAGATTAAGCTGGCCCTCAGGGGGGAAAGATGCAGGTCATCCAGCACAAATTACATGTCCGTGGTATGTCCTGTAGGATGTCACATAACTAAACACACCATGCGGTGGTTTTGTCATTATATTGTGCAAATTGTTTCAGTTTCTTTTCATTTATGTCGTCACATCTGGAGGTTTGAAACTGTTTAATTTAGAGCACAAACAAACATTCTTATTCTTTGGTGTGTCAGAGGATTGAGACCACCCCTGGGAGTTGTTTAAAATGCCGAGATGCATTTTGAACTCGGTTCTCCTTAAGTTTATCAGACTCGTTGCTTCCATTTGCCGGCTCTCCTTATGATTATTGCCATTACAGAAGATTAAAGCTGAGCACTCCCAAATAATAATGATCGCCAAGCATTCCTTGAAGGAATGCATATCGCCTGCCACCTTTCATGTTAAGAGTTTTAGATCATCTTGTGCTGAGAAATGAGGACGGTGTAGCATTTTTGTCTGCCTTAAAACAGCATTATGTGCAATCTCATGTCGTATTACAAAGTGTTGCATACATACGTCTTGTGAATGACTCTCAGCTACTACCACATCCAACTTTACTCAAAATCTGTAAAATTTACTCAATTCTTGTGTTGCCTAAGATGGATTAGCTGTGACGTCCATCCTGAATTGGAGTAATTTCCAAAGTTTGTCAGTTGTAGATGTGAAATCTAAAGATTACGGTACTTTCTGAGAGTTTCGTTAACATGTGTCCTGTTGGTCATGATTTATTTTCTTAACAGACAAACGGTGTCCACTTTGACAGTTGATTATGATTTTAAACAATGACCTGCAATGCATGTAGTAGCACTTGGTGTATGTGTTGTGAAGGTTCCTCAGCTCTAACCACACCAAACTTTGGCTTAATATTGGAAAAATTGAGACGTTTTATATATTTTTTTTAATCAATCATCTGAGGCCAATTGGTTTGACTCCAAAACTTAATTGGTTGAAGATGTTCATTCTGAATACTTCCTGTAAGTTTTACAAAAATGTGTTCAGTGGGTTATTAGAGATCTTCTGTAAGAAGCAGAAGCAAAAACATTATTGCCCACCATTGCCTTTTGTTGACAGGCAATACGAATCACATTTTCCCACTCCAAGGGAAGCTCTTTATGGATTTTCCCTCTGCCTTTCTGATTTTGGTGAAGTCTACTGAGGAATGGTTTTTGACTCAGGAAAAGAGGGATTTAACTTCGGCTTCAGCTTCATACCAGCTGCTTGCGCTGTGAGGATGTGCCGTCTCCTCCCCAGGCTCCTCGCTCTTCTTTCTTCTTCTTGCCCTTTTACAGTCAGCACCTGTGGGGAAACACGAGCAAAGGAAACTTGAACTTTGCCTGCCACTGCTTATACTGCAACTGTTAAAAACCTTAAAAATTAAATAAAATAAGGGCACTATCTGGACTAAGTCATCATGAGACATACAGTAAACCCCATTAAGGTGCAGAGCTGTTGACACAGAGATAAAAACAGGCTTATGACAGGTTACAAAATAGTGGCCCCCATGAGACTTTAAACACAAGTTGAAAAGCCAGGAAAAGCATTCCCAAACATTCCAGTGGTTTTGACCGACAAGCCGGATGTGAAGAATATACCCATATGAGATGCCACTCACTCGACCTCATGGATGATCCACCTCTCACAGCCTTCTGAAAGCATCCCCACCCTGTTCCTCCTCCACCTCAGGGCGCTCTAATCAATTCAAGGCTAGGAGCGGGAGGCGCCCTCCCATGTGATTGGGTAACGCGGGTTGTTTACTTGTGACTAACGCTCCCAAATCTCGTGGCACAGAAGCACACCCTCCAGTTCGGTGGGAAAAGTAATCACCAACGCAGGCGCGAGAGATTTCACGAGTGTTTTAATGCATTCCCTCCATTAGCTGCTGGACAAGCTGGGTGACAGCGTCTGCTAACTCTCAGACTCGGGCTTTAGCAGCTCAGACTCTGGATGCAGCGGGAAAGCGTGGTCAACATTTTTCTGTCTGCAACGTTCTCAGTCATGTGTGACCTTTGCATAAAATCATAACAGGACCCGCTGTTGTCCAGTCCATTGTTTCACAGTGTTGTCAGCCGGTGCCATTGAGGGTGGAGGGGGGCAGTGGGAGAAAAAGACTTTCGACAAAGAGCCATTCATTCGGGCTCCGGCTCCACAGCTGGTTCTAATAGAAAGCAAGGAGGGGCATCTCAGAGACAGAGAGACCGAGAAAAACATAAAGTGTACGAGTGTGCGGCGAAGAAATCCGCCTCAAAACAAACAAACATTTAATGAAGTGCTCTTGTGAACCCGCACCCTGAAAGAACGTGGAAATAAAAGGAGCAGAATTTGAACCGTTGTCAGAATGAACCGGGGCTCCATAGCTGTCAGAACGGTTTATTTGTGGCTCTGTTTTGGAAAGATGCTGAAGAAAACTCAACGTAGCCGCATCCCAAACCCAACAGAAACCTATAAATCACATTAATGTAAAAAAAGAAGTTCTATACAGAATGAACTAAAACAAGCAAGTTTTTGCAGATAAGTCACTTTATAAACCATGCGTTGGCACGGATACCAAATACTTGTGCAAGACAAATACTTAAGGATACAGAGGAGCCTAACCAAACTCCCATCGCCTCCCACACCACACATGAAAACACACAGATCCCCCAACACGTCAACACTGTCTGAGGCCTGAAGACTCCCACAGATCAACAAACACAGCTGTACCTACTACCATGATTTATTCAGTTGAGGGCACAAACGTTACCAGTGGTAGATGGTTTTACTTTATCTAGAGAAACCATCAGCTGCAGCCCGATGAGAAAAAATGCATTTTTTTTGAATGGTCAAAAGGTCTCGGTTTATGTCGGCGTCATCAAGCTCATTTCTGTTGCTGAACAGATAGCGGTTTGAGATCTACTGAAGAAAGGGTTACAGGAAGGGGATTTTCATCTCTGTGCTCCCCAAGGACACAAAAATAAACCAGTCACTTCCTCCCAGCCCAGGAGAAACAGTAACAAGGAGGAAAGCACAAATGAGAGGAGAGTGGGAAAGCTAAACAGAGCAACTTGAAGGAAGATGGGAGAAAATGTAGGGGCGCGTGAAGGTAAAGGGGGCAAAACTAAAAAAATTAAAAGGAGAAATATGAATAAATGTTGCCAAGACTTCAAGATGGAAACTTTTTAAATGAGAGGAACGTGTCAGAGATGTGGATCTTCATCAAATCCTGCAGCTGAGACCAAATTAAATCGTCTTCTACACTAAAACTAGGGTTATTTTTGAAAAGTCACTAACTGTTGAGTCATAGGTGGTTCGGTTTGACCAAATGTTGGGTCAAAAGGCCCGACCCAGTGCTTGGATCAGAGATGACTCATAGTTTTCTTCACCAGGGCTGCAAATTTACGAACTTTTTCAAATTTGGAAATATTCCAAGGGAATTTACAGCAATTTATGGGAATACAAATAAATCTGGAATTTTAAATACCGAGAGTTGGCCCTAAACAAGGATTTTAAATAAATCTAACAAGGCTGAATCAGATCTTTGGACGGATTCTTCTTTGCTAAAACGTTTCGTCTTTTATCCGAAATACTTCTTCAGTCTGAGAAGTCTTTTTTAGATTCTAGATTTGTCTACCTGGATTATTGAGCATGCATCAGGAGAGTTTAAATATAGTTGGTGAACAAGATCTTTTAGCATCATCTCGACTAAAACACCAGCTTTCATTGTTGGACAATGCAATTAGAGGTACCACACCCTTAAAAAGTGATGAACTCAGTCACCTGGACATAAAGGAATCGATGGAAATAGTGAAAAGTTTAGTTCAGAGTTAAGTGCACTCAATCATCCAGGTAAATAAATCACAAAGAAGTTAAATCATTTCATCTGGACCGTTTCTTTTTAGGAAGAAACATTTCGTCCTTCATTCAAAATACCTCATCAGTCCAAGGTCCACCAACAGGATCCATCGCACCAAACAGCACCCCATCGAGGTGCTTCAAACCAGTCCGCGGTGGAAATGGCTTTTTGGTGATTTATTTGCCTGGATGATTGAGCGCACTTGCTCTTTTTCTTTTAGTCCCTGCTAACTAGCACCAACCCAAGTTCTAACTTTACCTTTTAGTAGTGAACTGAACCAGAAACACCTGAGCTGATGATAAAAACAAGAACAGCCGAGATACAACATGGTACCAGAATACAGAAAACATAATAAACCAAAAGGGAACAGAAACCTGATCCCAAACACAAAAAACCATCCAACAAAATAATAAATATACACAGATTTTAACAATTTGTGGGTCACTTAACACAGTCAAACCAAAACCCTGATCCTGCAGAGTTAAAGCTGCCCAGGGTTAGCTCGGTCTAAATTTGACACAGCACTGGGTTGTTTGTAGCCCAGAGGTATTTGGTGTGTATTAGTTGACAAAAATATATTCTAAAATTCTAAAAAAAAACAAAAAGTGTGCAAGTGAGTAAATAAAGTTTATAAACTTAATCACTGCAAATCACATAATTTGTTAATTCTAAACCTCCAATAGACAGACGATGGAAAAGGCACACAATGGTTGAGATAAAAATAAATAAATAAAAAAACACTTTGACCTTTTATTTTCTTCTAGGTGCAAAAGACCAAAATCATCAATATTGATGTTTACGAGACTTAAATTCACTGAAAATGTCACAAAAGTAGATGTGGTTTCAGAGGTTTTTGTGTTTGTCAAATCTGTGCTGCCATTGAGCTTTAACCCTCCTGCTGCCCATGGGTCAAAATGACCAAAATAAAACTGAGGGTCCTTTTCACCCACGGGCAGAAGGAGGGTTAAAGTGACAGCATGGAGTACGTCACACATATACATTACAATACAAGTCCTTTGCCAGCTGTAGCGAAGCCAGATCTCATATTAACATTAACTGTTTGAATGCATTCTGAAGGGAAATGTGGTTTAAGACTAATATGGGTTTTAAATTCAGGACAGGAAAACTATAACCCAAAGGGATGCAGGGGTAGCCTAAAGGAAAATTTCCAGGTTGTCTTTATATAATCTGGTTGTTCGCCAACATTTTTGGTTGCCCACAACTTTTACAATGAAGACGACAAAAAATCTCAAGCTCTCGAGTGGAACTTCCTCGTTCTCATCAGACTTTGCAAGAGAGGCTCTCGGCAGCGTATTTAAGGCTCGGGGATTAAAGCAGAAAGAAATATTTTGACATTTTTTCTACACCTACACTTTTGTTCTACAACCACCCAAATCTGCCCCCACTCCCATTCCCACACATTCAAGAGCTCATTCTTGCATACAGGCCACTTCTCAAAAGTTTTCACATAAAGAGGCGTATACTGTGTGCGTGACCTTATAAGTACACAGTACACTGCAGACATGTAAAAGTACACAGCATAGTGTCCCCTAATGAAGCGTTAACCTGCACCGTCAAGACCAACATTATTCTGACAGATAAGAAACTGTTTTTAAACAACTTTTCTGTAATTTACTTTTATGTCATTTCAGCGTTTTCAGTTGTCAGATGTTTTTTTTTTAATATATATAGAACAGGAATTATTTGGCAGAGTATAAATGGTAATGTAAAAATGTATTTTTTATTCGTCAGACTGACAGATTTCTCCACTAAAGTGACTATTTCATTCACATTTACAGGACTTTAGCTCATGCAATGGTTTATTTATTACTTTGTAGTTTTCATATTTGATCATTTATTGAATTACATCTATCACAGTAGTTACCTCTCACTTGTAAATATAGTCAAGTTTAGCACATCAAAATAGTCAGAACACCTTTTTATTATTTAAACACTACACAAGATTGAATTTTGCAGATAATGTTGATAAACTACAAACACCTGAAACTGACTCTCTCACAGAAAGAACTTTGTGAGTTTGGGGGAAAATCAAGCTAAACGGAGACATGCAGCTTTCTGTGACATAAAAATTAGTGCTATTATTGTTTAATCATAAGAAATAAAGCCGCCTGTTTCACTGAGAGACACTCAAACAGGCTGTGCGCTCCCACGGCGGCGCCGTCTCCTTTGGAGTTTAGTCACACGTGCAAGTTGAACACGTCTGTATGATGATGACGACACTCAGAACATATTAGTTGCTTTTTTGTGAACTTTTATCACCAAATATCCTCTGAAGCAGGTAGGTAAAATAAAACAAGTACACAAACCAATAGAAAATACACGCTTCCCTACAAACACACCTGTGTCCACCGATCATGAGTCCACCTTTTGTCCACTGATGATGACTAGAGCTGAACAATTAATTGCATTTGTAATAATATCGCGATCTGATGAAATGAGATTTTCT